CCGACCCTGGTACGCTGCCGTACAAAAGCCTGCACCCGCCACTGGGGACAAACAGGACTTGGCACTCTATGAAGGTTTCGCCAATAAAGACGTCTGGGGTAACGAGGACCCGCGTCGCAAAGAACGGGAGCAGGCGCGCATATCGACGAACGACCCTTTCGCATTCATGCAGAAAGCACAGACACAGCTGAAGAAGTCGAAGCAGGATAGGAAGCAATGGGCTGCAGAACGCGACCGTGAGCTAATGGAGCTACGGTCAGCCCAAGAGCGGGAGGAGAGGAGGAGTCGGCACCTCAAAAGGAAGAGGCGGGAGGTGGACGACGACGAGCATCAGACACCCAAGAAGGAGGCATGCTCATCTTCGCGCCAGAAGCATCGCCACAGGAGCCGGAGTCGTAGCCGTGACAGGCACGAGCATAGGTCTTCGCATCGCAGCGACAAGCGACGAGCTCATAGCAAGAGCAGGGAGCGCGATGGAGACCGCCATAGACATCGTGATCGGCGGAACGAGGAGTTCCAGAAGGCTTTCATCTAGAAGCGAGCCGATGCACTACATATGAGTGCAGGTCGTTATAGGCAATCCCTTTGGTGTGCTATTACCATTCATTAGGCTCAACATACTACGTTCATGAAGGTGTCGTGAAGAATGGGCTCAGCCTCTAATCAATCAACGTCTTTGTCGTCCCTTCTGTTATTTAATGGGCGGATTCAATCATCATGGATCCAGTGTGCGTTGCGGGGGTTCTAACAATCGGATTTTTATCTTGATTGAGCATCTAACGCTTCACCAGCTTCGGGCATTCCATTATTCATTCATAATTTAAATACTCGCTAACCAGTTCAAGAAGCAAGGCTGCGCGATTGTACCCCTGCTTCCAACCCCCGAAGAGATTGTGCTGAATGCGAAGAGCAAGTGCGCAGTGCCGCTAGATCATCCCGACTTCAACTATCTTTGTACCGGTGTTGATCAACGCATAGCGGTGGTGTTAAGATCACATGAGTCGGGTTCTGGATTATCATACAGACCGCTTGCTGATGACTGCGGAGACCTCACGCTGGCCGACAATCTTGCGTTCGTGAGACTTGTCGCCAGACTGTTCAGTGAGCTGAGCCGCTCTGATGCTGTCAGGTGGTAGTCACAATCGGGTGCAGAATGAAACAACTGATAGTGTCTTACCGGTTAGACTGCAAAACATGCCTCCAGTCGCATTTTGTCATACTATACATCCTCTTCAACGAGGTTATGCGGCACAGCTCGCATGACTTCCTCGGATCACTGTGCCGTCACATCCGGAGTGGCGACCATCTATCTACCAGAACACACGACACATCTACCACGCATCTACAACACATCTACACGCGTTTGAAGATGAACGCCACCTCAACAACAAACAATGTAACGTTCCAAGTCCTCTATCGCATTCCCTTCCGCTACCTCTACATACCCGGCCTGTACATCCTGCTACTCGGTTTCTTCACTTTCGGCCACGCATTGCACACGGTGTTCACGCACCAGGACCCTGGCGGATACTACAAGTTCTTGATCTGGCTCGTCCTCGTGTTTGGGTACTTCGTATCTCATGCCGGCGCCCATCTCTGTGTGATCTGGCTTGTCTTCAGGGACCTACAGTTGCCGGATATGAGAGTCATGACCGATTCTGCAAAGCGCACGAACAAAGTCCTCCGAAGTATCGCTAAGTCCATTCCGTGGCGCTTCGCGTATATACCTGGTCTGTCTCTCGTCGTTCTCGGCATCCACGTTCTTACGCAATCACTGCGCCTGCATTGGACGCATGTTGGTCCTGCGGACTGGGATACGATGTTACATATTCACTTTCGCACGGTGCAGGGAGTGGCTCTCGAATTGGCAGGTTTTGTTGTTTGTATGGGGTCGTATGTCTTCAAGGGTGTTGAACTGGAGGATGCAGAAGAGACACAGCGAAGGGGTACAGACGTCAGCAGCGGGGCCGCTTTTGGACGGAAGGTGAACGTTTTAAGCGGGTATGACGGTACGCGTTGAATGGTGGATGTATGGCATGGAGATAGGAGGGTTTCCTTGGATGGTATGGAGAAGAGTCGGTTGGAAGAAGTACAAGCAGGTGGCTTCAGCTGCACAGCATGACTGACGTAGCTCGGATGTGGGTCGATGGCTTCAAAATTGTTGCTCGTACGTTGTAGGTCTAGTTTCTATACAAACTATAGATCAAGGATCAGTACCAGCGAACCGCAGCGGCAAATAGTCAGTTCAGCTGGTGAAGTGTTACACTGCGCTCGGTGCATGCCAAATGCAGGCGAGATCGCGTGAGGCCACTGTACTTGGGTAGCATTGAATGAGCATATTTCGGCGGAAGTGCTCAGTAGGTACCTAAGTTTGTCTGCTTATGCGGTGATACCTGACCTGATGTAGATCATAAGCGACCTATCGTAATGTTGAGTCATACTAGCGGTGGATTGCTGTTCGACGGCCTTGAACGCATCGAATTCTTTCGTCATCTTGGTGTTTTCAGCTGTGCCACTTGGTATGAAAGGCTCTTCGAATACCCACACAGTGTCAACGGTAGGTGTAAAGTGTTCGTCAGAGAAGACCAGTAACCCATCTCAATGTTCAATGCCAGTTCGAGGGTCCAATCTTGGGAGGCAGTCACGCAGCATAGCCTGCACAGGGTTGACGGCCCAAGGCCACCCATACCAACGCCTCGTTGCCTAACATCGTGATTGCGGGGGTCGCAAAGGGATATTATCATCCAGCATGTCGGCGACTAGAAAACAGTACATACAGATCGTGGAAAACGCAAACTTGTATGCGACCCAATCGGAAAGAACGCCGCGGGAATTGCGGGAGCGGGTAGCCATCATGCGCGATAAGCATTCTGCGCGTTACCAGGTTTTCATACCGAAATCGCGCGCTTCTTGACTCGTAAACAGATGTTGCGAGCGGGTTGTAAGTTGCTAGGCTTGATCAGGGAACGCGAACAGTCGAATTCATCTCCAGAGGCCAATGACACCTAGGTTCCCACCGCGGTCCTCCATCAAGAGCATGACGCTGGGGACCATGCGACTACGGGGAGCTCCATCGCACGCGATAAACGTGATGGACAGTCCCAAGAGCATGTCATACAACTCGTTTGCGTGCTTCGACTTGTGGCGGCTTAGATAACCCGCATGTGTTTCAGGTGAGTTAGCGTCAGGTACCAGCCTAGACAGCGGGCTTTTAAGGTGCACCGGACCGTGGAACGGAGATTTCACGCATATCCACACGCTCGCGGTCCCGAGTCCGATTGGCGAGGCTGCATCTCGATGGTATCTGTACGCCATGGCGCGAGAGATGAGTGCAACCGGCTGCAAGCATACCTAGGTAGATGCACATGTTTTGACTACATTGTTTGGTGATTGTCGAGGAGACCTGTCACGTTATAGAAATTGGTGCGCTCTATCCTTCGTTGCTTGTACTGCTGCATACGTATGATATGACGACGACTCGACGCTCGCAAATGAGAATGTATCATGTATTGCCAGGTACATCCCCCCACAGACTAAATGCTCCGAACAGTTCTCGAAAAGGGGACACTAATTTTAGTAGTCGCTGCAAGTATATACATTACCCACAAGCCGATCGCTGACGCACTTATCTACTAACAACGTGGTTAGATGGCAATCATGCAAAACCCGTAAACTTGAAATCGGTGCAAAGAGGAGGCCTGATCGTCTATTACGGTAAATTGATTGGCGACTCGACGGTTACTTTCGCGTACTGGGCACGATGGCGTGCACTAATGAACTGGCGTTGGTGGTACGCTGTCTAACGGCGGAGTCAGATCCGGTGTCAGTCACGACGTGTCGAGCAAGGTTGAGCTACACACCCGAACCCGCAAGCGTTCTGAAATCAAGGTCAGCACCACCTTGCACTGGGATACTTAGTCTTCACTGTCTCTTCAGTCCGGGGTTTGTCTTGGAACCTCGACACTCCTGTGTACATGCCGTGCGCGTGGCCTCTGAGTTTGTGATACAAACCAAACATTCTGGCACTACAAGTCCAAACATACCCATATCACGAACCTTGATCCCGGCGTTGTTATGGCTTCTGGAACCGCGCTCACGCCAGCCATCATCGCAACATGGCCAATACCCAACTATGTCGACCCAGTCTCGCAAAGGGGCAGTGTCGAAGCTGCAATATACGCGACAACCATCCCAATGGTGCTCTTCGTCGCTGGCAGAATCTACGTTCGGGCGAACCAGAAGTCAGGTGTAGGAGCCGATGACTGGATTATGGTTGGCGCAGCGGTATGTTCGCCCTATGCTCTTATGCTACGTATCTGACATGTGTAGGTCTTCGCCTTAGCGATTTCTGTGTGCTTATTAGTTACAACCACCAACTCTCTTGGGCGTCATCTCTATGATGTGAATCCGATGACGTTTGTGAGCTCTGCAAAAGTAAGCAATTACCAGTGGTTTCAATATTCATACTAATGGCTTCTAGTACAACGTTGCGAGTGTCACAATGTACAATGCTTCTATGACACTCACAAAGCTTTCCGTCTGTATGACGTACCTGAAGCTTTTTCCCTCGAGAACGAACAAATTGTTCTGTTGGACGATGATTGGGTACCAGCTTCTGTGGGGTGTCATTTCGTCGGCACTCTACATTCTGCAATGCGTGTAGGTCATGAACCCTAGGGCAGATGTTTGATCCTGACTAATTAATCTGTCCCAGTCCAATCCAGTCACTCTGGGATTTCACGATTGTCGACAAAGTATGTTTGGACTCGCATCAATTGCTCACCGCCAGCGGCATCTGCAATGTAGTGTCGGACTTTGTGGTGTTCCTTTGGCCAGTCGCGCCACTGTGGCAGGTCAAGTTACCGCTGTCTCAACGCGTGCATCTAGTCGCGGTTTTCTCTTTCGGCGTCCTGACATGTGTCGGCGGCATCTTGAAGGTCGTTTGGTCGCAGGATTACTTCAAGACATGGGATACGACATGTGAGCAGTATCGTTCCACAATGGACTGTCATCGTGCTAACATAGCCTTCTTGCAGGGGTTGCGTCTCGCGTCACCATGGCATTGTGCATCGAATTCAACGTTGGTATCATGAGCGGCTGTTTACCTTGTCTCCGTCCATTCCTAGCAATGATGGCTCCTGGAATCTTCGCTGGACCATCGGCGGCACACAGCGGCAATGCAGCGAGTTCTGGCGGAGCATCCTGGCGCAAGTCTCCCTTTCGGTTTGGAAACTCCAAACTATTCAAGCTAGGCGCGGGCAAGCCGTCGGATCGTGGTGAAGATTACGAGTTCACGGATGCGGAACATGCGGGAGGTGCCCGCGCTTGGGCTGCAGGCGGAAAAGAGGTGCCACAAGCTAGCATCGGCACCGTGTCTGGGTCTGGTATCTCAGTGAACAGAGATGAGAAGCTGCGCGATGGTTATGATTCGCCGGGTGTTGTCACCAATGATGCGACTAGTGAGGAGTGGATCATGAAGGAGGACTCTTCTAGGTAGCTCAACAAGGCGTAGTATATATCAATCATTAAGTATGGTCTTGAGAGGCCATGCCGAAAGCCAACACGAGGGTATATGGCGACACATTCGATGACTGGGAAGGTCGGCGAAAAGTGAAGCAGAGCACTTTCGCTCAAAGTGCTAGAGCTGTCAAAAGCATTCGAAGTCATGACACGAGCAATGCTTCCGAGTGCCATTTCAGACAACGCATCGACGTCGAATGAGTCTCGAAACCTTGTACTTTCAGTCTCTGTGACAGAGGCGCAGTGCTCGTGTCGATGTATGCGTGCGGCCAGCCACCAGAACTATGTATATCCAGGGAACTCGCAACCTTGACATGACCGAGCTTCATGCCTACGATTGCGTACCGCTGCGATGAGCTGATGCCATAAGCGCTCGTGTATGTGCTGTATGCGCGCCTCGCCGCGACCAACTTCGCTTCCAGTCTCAACTCAACGCGCAGGGTACTGAGCGCACCTCAAAGCAAGTTGTGGTGTCGGCTCTGGAGCGTCGCTCTCGCAGAAACCTATCCGGTGGACTTGATCATGTCGACCAAGTACCAATATAATGTGTCTCCGCCCCTAGTTGTGATCCAGGCAGTCCCATGGCGATAGACGGGATTGTGACGCGCGGTCGAGCGGTTCTCACGAGCTTGTCCGTAGTTGCGCTGGGTATACGATGGTGGAAATGTGCTGCGATACGATTGCAGAGATGCCTACACGGGTGCTCATGTGGACGTGACCGCTGAGGAAGTGTGAATGTCGACTGGTCGTGTAGCTCATTGGAAGCGGATTTCGGGGGGTATTCCTATCGCATTGGTTCGGAGTGGACCACATAATTAGCGCAGTACGGTCAATTTGTCGATGTCAAAACATGGTACATAAGTTTGGAAGGACTTAGTGATTGATCCGGGCGGTAGCTCCAGGGCTGTTGCTGGAGCGGAAGCTCTGTCTTGGTTCAGAGGCCTTGGGCGACAAGCCGGACGTGCGCGCCGACCATGCTACTCCCGAATTGCCCACCAGTGGCAGCCTGTCACCCATCATCTAGGCAACAACCCATATACAGCCTGCTTGGATCGCACATGATCACACAGAGCAGTTATGTAGACACAATTTGTGATGGAATTCAGAGGGCGTTGCAATCAAGAGGTCCGGACGAAGGAGTCCAATTCCATTTGCGCTTGGCGCACGTAGCTCAACCAGCCGACATGTGACCTGTCCATGCGCACGCCAACACTACCTAGTGTAACCCTCATCAGACCACGACCATCAGCTCTACCCAACCCGATCCCTCCATGCCCGTAACCCGTGGAGGCCGCACAGTGGCTCGCCACCCACGCAGGATAACTCATGTTCTTCCTTTCAGGCACAACGCGCTCATGGTGTTCCAGGGCCTGGATTCGTGTCCTCTTCCACCGCTTTACAATTTCATCATATACTTTACCCACCCGGACGTCAACCCGGACAATGTTCAGCCATATGAGCTCTTCAAGGCGATCAGAGAAGGCTCCCTACTGGAGAACTTCTGTCACTTCCGCCTCGAGCTATTTTTCCTACATGTCTCAAATGCAGAGGATTCCGACGAGGCCTGCATCGCCCACTATCGTGAGGAAAAGCGCAGCCGGGGAGACTATACACGTCAGGTCGAAACACTAGGGTTGTCGTCCACTATGAGCAGTGAGAACGGTGCCGGTAGTCTACCCGGCTTGGTACCAAGTTACATCGAAGACCCGGACACCGAGTATTACCATGGTCTTATCTACATCTACCGAGGACCTGATTGGACTATAGACGAACAGTTTGTACGTCGCATCTCCTTCGATCCTATCCCACAGAATGTGTTTAGTTCGCTCGACCACGAGGCAGATGAACCTCACATTCTTCCGGCCATTGCCATCTTTCCACTAACGATACGCCATTTGGGAAATCACAATGTCAAGTCGATTGGCGAGGACATGTACTTCAAGTCCTTTCTCGCAACAAACAATGTCACGAATGAAACGTGGGAGGAGGCGATCAGGCTTGGATGGTCTACCTGGTGAAAGAAACCAGTCCTGGACACCAAGCGATGAATATGTTCTCGTGATGTTGTGTGTTCGTGATTGAGATGTAGTAGTAGAGCAGACCTGTCTCGACTAAAGGACCCATAGAATTAAGAAAGTTGGAACGAAACACAAGGGCGAGAAGAAGCTAACAGGCAGATCCTGGGTTCACGACTGGCGCCGCTTGCCTTCACTGCTATGGCTGTGCTCCGTAGTGGAAAGATGGAGCCTATTGGTACCAATCGCACCGTAGCTCTGGGGTTACCTGGCATTAATGGCACTGGTATTGCGCGCTTCCGGCGACCAATAGGGTATTTGCGAACAAAGTCAGCCTTGCCCAGAGTCGCACACGTCTGACATTGTGGGGCAGACTTGCAATATTGACTGTACATAAGGCATCTATATCACCCATATGTACGTAGTCAGCATGGCTTCAACATCTCCATTGACAAAGTTAGCCGAACTATGGGCACAGCCACTTCTCAAAACCAAGGTTAGCGAAGCGATTGAAGAGTTGAATTCCACCGTCCATAGTGACTCTGTGAGTATTAGCAATGCGCCATTAAATACAGAGTCACAACTTCGAAAAGCCGCCGGAGGTCAGAAGAATGGAAACTCCGCCGTGCAGGCGAAGGACATGTTCCGAACAGCGCTAGCTTGTTTGGGCCTCACATGGAGGGGTTGTATCGAAGCCGTGAGTCGTACCTGGAACAAGAGTTGGACGTTGGAGACATTAAGTCTTATCGCCTCAATTGTTACGCTTGGTGGACTTGTTTCGACACTTCGCGCTCATCAAAATAAACCTCTCCCCCAATGGCCTCAGTTAGTCACGATGAACTCCATCATATCGCTATTCTCCCTGCTCATGAGGGCATGCGTGGGTGTCATATTGACCGAAGGTAACTTAAGATCTAAGCGTTATGATCTTTATAAGCTGACTAGGGCGACAGGGATAAGTCAGTGCAAGTGGAACTGGTATCGGAAAGTCAGGAAATTGGATCTTATCGAACGACTTGATTCAGCGAGCCGTGGTTCTTGGGGCTCCATCAATCTGCTGTACCACCTGCGACCATCACAAGCATAGTGACCGCCCCGTGTCCAGTCCTATCTTAAGAAAGACTAATTGTGTGCAGTCAACTCGCTGTGCTCGGCGCCGCTATCACGATCATGTCGTCTCTGCTCGGCTTCTTTTCGCAACAGCTCGTGCAATTTCAAGATTGCCTTCAGCAAGACACAGCCGCGTGGGTTGGAATATCAAGAGTCAACTCGTACCACCAGGTTGGAGGTCGCCTTTACTTTAACACGTCCACGCAATATGCTCCGATGGCAGCAGCGATCAGCGTCGGCATACTTCAACCCGTTGGAGATCTGACCAATACACTCTCTTCTGGCTGTAGTAGCGGCAACTGCACTTTCTCATCTAAAGGCAGTGCAGCATATTCAACCTTGGCTTTCGGTCACTCCTGTACCAACATTACATCAAACATTCACATTGTGAATGAAACTTATTCGACGAGTGAGAATCGGACAGCGGCATATTTGGCGCTGGATTATGAAGACGGCAATACCTTGGAATGGCCACGAGAGAATAGCGGAGAATCCGTCGTTCGCACCTGGACCTCGCTCACGCCATCCGGCCTGACCACGATATACTTTCTTTTCAGGTCTTCCAATCGCGAAACAGATTGGAGGGCTGTCAATTGTTCACTCTTCCCAACGATCAACACGTATGCGGCTAGGATCACCAATGCCATCCTGGAAGAGCAATTGCTTGACGTTGCGTATCTTGACAGCATACCAGCACAGTTCAATGAACCGCCCGTGTGGGATGCTGACCTCTCAAACACGGTATCTAGATGGACCCATGCGAGGACAACCAACTACACCATACGAAACGGCATAAGAGAGTCATGCGAGGGCACAGGCGACCCCAGTACTGGGTTCAAGTTCATGAAACATAGCGACGAACCCACTTACATTAACGGCACCGGTCATACAAATCCGAGCGCGGGATGGAAGTGGTGGTACTTTCCACCGGATTGCGTGTGGCTTCTTGGCAAGTTCTCGGGGACGACTATAAGCGAAAGCCTAACAGCTATATTCGACCAACAAAACCTTTCAATGCGCCAACGAGACGGAGCAGTAAGCACCAGCTCAGTTCATCTGCGTGTACTGTTCGACGAGGGTAACATCACATTCCGCACCATTGAAAAACGAATAGAGAACCTCGCGAGGTCAATGACTTCTGTCATCCGCACTCACGGTAGCTCTGTGCCTCTTCCAATCTCTCCTGAGTCGTGGTTTCCTCCCGACCCCCACGGGGAAATGTGGTTCAACACAACATGTGCGTACGTACGGTGGTCTTGGATCGCCTATCCTGCTGTTATGATTGCTCTAAGCGGTGTTTTCCTTCTGTTGGTTGCGATTGAGAACCGCGATACTCCGCGCGATCGGCTCTGGAAAAGCTCGTTTCTTGCTGCTCTCTTCTGCGAGGTCGAGCTGAACAAAAAACCTCAGGGGATAGCAGATATGAAAGCGAAAGCAAGGACAGCAAGTGTAACTCTAGAGAAGAGAGGCTCTGGGTTGAAGCTAGCTTAACACTACCTAGGTAGTAAAGCCTATGTAACCAACGTTGATCCCTGCAAATGTACACTCTCTCAGATTAGCTCTCGAGTTTCACTTGAGCAATAAGCAAAAGATAATAAGCAAATTGCATGTTAGGTGGTTGCTGAACATATTTCGATACTACAATGGCATCGTGTGTCCCCGCGGAATGCATCGTTACGGCAACTCCGCAATTGACAGATGCAAAGCGACGAGTGTTGAGCTCGTAGTGCGCATCAAGATGAACGCCATCTTCAGCCTTGTGGGGAAGCAATAGCCTTGGCAGGTTTAATTATAGCCTAGCGTTGGGTTCATCGGGTCTAGCCCGAGAGAACTCTAACACCACTTTCGCTTC